GGGGGAGTCTGCAGGGGGATCTTCTTGACCCCTTTTGCATCTCCCGTTATAAAGTTACTGATTTGTGACGGTGACGCAATCCATCTGCAGATCCTTTCATATTCCTCAATTCAAAGTCCTAATATGTTTTAAAGGACACCTATCATGCTATTTTTAAGTTACTTATTTTTATTTTTGGATTTCTACTCAAACATGTTTATAAGCTTCCTTGTGCAAAAAACACTTTATTTATTTCAAATTGTCTGTCTTAGTATACCTGTATTCAAATTCCGTCTTAAACGCTCTGTTTTAGCGACTGTCTCTTTAAGAACCACTCCTAAAAAAGCTGTCTCCGATTGGTCACCGTTTCTTGGTCTTCCGTATCTCGGCCAAAAGTAATTTGTCTGTGTATTTTGCCAATGAAACGGTATTGGTAAATGATTAAACAATCATCAAAGTTAATAAATGTACCCTAGACGCAATACTCCACCAGGGAATCATGAAATATTGCCAGCCGAGTCAATTTTCCCATCCTCTGGGAGACCTAATAGGGTATAAAAGTAATTAGACACAATCAAATCTTTAACGCCTGACACAAGCTGGCCTACGGATTACAGACATACCACTTATTAAGAGTAGGTCATGGGTTCCATCCCCACGACGCATTAGCAGCTGTGTTTTAGTGTCCTGAGTATCACATTAGCTGAATGGTGAGGAGCTAAGCTATGGATCAATGTTTGATAGTGTTATAATGTGAAGTTGTGATTTATGCCTGCAGGAATGTAGATACTTCATCCGTAGTCATCACCTCAGTTAAAAAAATGAAGGTTTTGTTGTAAATTGGTATTGTGCAAGTGGTGAGGGCACTCGTTCTACAAAGTAAGGCAAAGCAAGTTTACTAAAATAGCATTTTTTCAACTAGGCATTTCAAGCGCTACACATACAACGTAAAAAGGGCGAAGGAAACACAATAGGTTAAAAACCTGTAAAATCAAGTAAAATACAACAGAAGTTAAAGTTACATGCAAAGAATGATAAAATAATCATGTATCTAAAAATACAGCTCAATTGGTATTAAAATGTTTTAAATAAAACAATTCAAAGTTTAAAAAAAAGCTAGGATTTTGTGCTTTTCTTTGTCTAATCTTGCATTATTAAATCTACTTTTTTTTGTATATTATTTACCATTATCGCCACTCAGAATCAGGTAGCAGAAAAAATGCTTTTATATTCTATTCAAAGGCGCTTTTAAGAAAAAGCTAAGAATCTTGCCTTAAGCTAGGAACCCTGTTCTCCATGTTTAATGTTGAGTCTGAGGGCAGAAAGCAGCAGCAGTATTTCAGAATCAGTTCTTTTAAGGCAGTGGTGGTTTCCTCACATCTCTCTGGGATTTGAATTCTTCCTTTTTAACATACAGTATCAATATATGCATTCTCACTGCGTGCATACTTTGTGCATACTCTGTTTACTTTCCATCTGAATGCCTCTCTCCGCTCTCGCCTACCCAGCATACTAACAAACCTGCGCTCCCGCACCCTGTATCACACTTTCCACAAGCTTGTTTTTGGCTGATGAAACTGTACGATAGGCTTTTGACGGCTGCAGAATGTGGATCCTCTATTCAAACGAATAATAGAGCCGAGGCTGCGAATGGAGATCAAGCTTGTCTGGGTGAGGGATATGGGGACAGCCATGGCTCAGGGACTCCCCTTCTCTTTCCCTATCTGCCATTGGTTTTCCTTTTTTAAAACAGAGAGTTCACCTCTTGTGTCAGACAGGAAAAAGAAAGCCTTGAGTCATGCTGTCAAAACGTGATCCGAGCACACGGCCGACATTTACATATCAAGGACATGTTTCAAGGCTGTTGCAAAGCACACCACTTTTCCATTTGTTCTAATATTCTTTTCTCGCGTCTCCCGTTTAGTTGTTCTTCTTTATTTTGATCTCCATTTACCTGTCTGTCTCCCTTGCGTGCAAACACTTTATTCTCCTATCTTTTAGACTCTGTTTTTGTTGTTTCCCACACCTCACCTTGAAGGGGAAAAAAGCCAGACTCACACTGTGGTGCCTCTTAAAGGAAGCCCCTGAAAACAAATTGCTTTGCTCGCAGGGAGAGAGCGCACAAACAGCAGAGTCCCCTCACTGTTGCAGCGTGACCCCGGGCCTTGAACTCTGACCCCGGTGCAATGAAGCAGGACTAATGCACTTGGAGTCGCCCTCCCTTTATCCTTCCCCCCAAGGTCCTCTTCCAGCAGCATTGAACAGACACAGGCCATGTGAATGTTTCAGCACCGCGGGCTGTGGACAGCTCCCATGCTGCTTACATGCTTTCCACTGTTCTCATACAAGAAGCATTTCAGCATTCAGAGGAGCTGGACAGCTCCCGTTGTTCACGCCAGGGCAGGCTGGCTGAACACAGGCACGGGATGTCGTTACAAAAGCACATCGTGCAGCCAGCTGTTGTTCAAATATACTAAAACTCATGTTCAATCTAGTCAAAAAAAATCACGTTTTCATGTATTGAGGCCAGGGCACATTTTTAAAGTGCACATTTCACATCTTTTTAATAATTTGAAAGAAAATACAAATAGCTTTTTTGCAGCGGAATTAACAAGACAGACTTCTTTTAAAGTCCAAAATTGAAACATTAGATTACATTTCTTTAATTTCAGCTCCTATTTAGAAACTTTCCCTTTAAACCCTTTAGGACTTGCCTACAAATTTGATGTGATGTCGCTACAGTATCGTTACAGTTATTGTCTGCTCCAGTGAGGTTCGAACAACTTTGAAAGACACAAAAAACACTGACCAATCAGAAAGGAGTAGACTTTTTTGGTTCTCTTAAAGAGACAGTCACTAAAACAGAGGGTTTCAGACGGACGGTGAATACAGCTGTTTCCGACAGACAGAACACAACGATATATACATTTACTTTAACAACATTTATTGTATTTCAGTAAATTCACAATGTTGTGCATCGTAAATGATAACCAAATATGCAATAAATAAGTCTGATGGATCAAGTAATAGCACAATTAGAACTTTGTGCACAATGGGTTAATAAAGATTGTTTACAGATCTAAGTGATTAATTTATATGTAGTAACTAAGCAGTACAGTAAAAAGACTGCTCTTTAAATGCAGATGGAGGATAAGTGAGATCACTGCTGCTGGGATGGACTTGCTAATACCAAGAATGAATGTCCTTGCATACTGATAAGCACACTCTCCTGCTATCATGCTAATGGTCCTAATGAGCTCACCATGTGTCATTGTGGTTTAGCACAAGAATATTGTACAAGGCCATCATGACACCCAATTTAAAAAGGAAAATGTGGTGATCATTGTTGTATGGAACAATGTTAGGGAGCA